TCACCTTAGTCGATAAACGAGAGAGAAGACAAATGATGGAGTCTGTCCAACGAATCCGAAGTATTTTGCGCAGACAACTGTTAATAAACACTTGTATCTTCTGGATGATGGCTTCGGTAGTTCTCCAAGTTTCCGCTCCATACAGTAGAACTGTGTTGACATTTGTATTGAAAATCCTGATTTTGGTTTTGGTTGAAAGTTGTTTGGAGTTCCAGATATTTTTCAACTGTAGAAATGCAGCCCTTGCTTTGCCAATCCGAGCCCTCACATCTACATCGGATCCACCTTGGTTGTCGCTGGAATATCTGAATTTGGTCAATCGGTAGGATTTCGAATAGCTACATAGAGGATTATGACACTAACTAACTAACTAATCACTCATATTTATTTATTATTTATTAGAGAGAATATATACATATATAATGAATTAAGTTGAATACATGAGTAGTACAGGTATACATCATTGAACATGTGAAAACAAGTACAAGAAATATATATACATATTTTTTAAAAAAAAAGCAAAGAATTGGTTAGCATTTTTCACAAACAAAACAAAACAAGCCGAAAAAACAATTAGTTAATCGGTAAAATGAAATAAAAGCAGAAAAGAACGGAAATCAATCAGATAAAAGAAACCCTGATAAACTATAGATTTATTTTTAGATATATATGTGTATTTCACTTCGTTAGTTAGTTAGTTTGTTTACTATGGGAATAGGATAAAAGGCTTATGAATGGGAATAATAATTAATAAACAACAAACCGAAAAAAAGAATTTGTGCATAGAAAATGTTACTAATATTACAGCGATTTGAATTCAATTCAAGAAACATTTAAATGATGAAATAATTTCGAAGAAATATATGTACAAGATAGATTTTATTAAAATAAAATATACTAATGAGATATTTAGCATTAATCTAACTAATTAATCTAACCTCTTTTTAGTAAACGATAAAGCGTAAAATATTGAAACAAAAATACGCACTGCTGATGAGTCCCATACAAGGATGAAACGGCCGTGTGCAGTGTGCTTCCAGGTTTCTAATGGCGGTGGTCTAACACTGATCGATTTATGATTTCAAAAAATTAAATCATCACCTATTTTATTGGTCTCAATGCATGAAATGTTCTTCTATTGTTTCATAATACCAATGAAATATAGTACATCATTGATATAAAGCGTATAAGCCAATCACTTAAAAGATTATCAGAAAGACCCCATGCCAATGTAAACTCTTAGACATACAAAGAGACATGATAAATGCACAGTCTATAAACAGAATGAATATTTTAAAAAAATTTCCACAACTCCTAAAGATCATGTGTAACCAAGTACTATGATGAAAATGATGAAACAACCCTATATTAGAATGAATTTGTTAATAATTTGTAAAGTTATCATGTACAACAAACAAAATGATATTGTATAAAAAAAACAAAACTAATATGATCAATTAATTAATTAATTAATTAATTACCTCTAAATCTTGACATTTTATTTCTAAAGTTTGTATATTCTGTTGAAGTTGCGTTAATTTATGTTCATATTCCGTTTGAATTGTAGCTGTACGAGTTTGTAACCTGATCAAATCGGATTCAGCTTGTTCTTTTTCTTGTTGTAATACATCACGCATTTGTGAATCTTCTAATAGAACAGCAACATCAACTTCATTATCATTGTAAGCTTCAATTTGACGTAGTAGACGATCACCAACTTTAGTGTATATACGCTAATGATATAATGATGCAATTATGAGAGACAGATAGATAGATAGATAGATATATACAATGTTAGTTTATTTTAAAGAATAAACAAGTTAATTGATGAGAATTAAAAAAAAAACATTGAGACATGGATTTTGAAGTAGTTGAAAGAAATTCACTAAAAAGTGAAATAAGTAAATGATTCATCATCTTGAGATTTGTCAGTCAGTCAGTCGGTCAACAACAACAACAACAACATATAACTTCGTACGTACGTACGTACATCAATTCAAGTTGCCGTAACACATTAGCACAGAAACACAACTGTCACTTCATATCCTATAGTAGTAGAGGTAGTAAAAGTATTAGCAGTAGTAATCGGAGAGATTAGGGTAATGAGCAATTTAGAAGGATAGGATTTAAGAGAACACAAAGAGTGAATGCACCTGCGCCATTGCAAACGGTTTTGAGCCATGTCGTTCAAGGTCTCTAACTATCGATTACTATCATCCCGAGGGCCACAACCAGGTAGTCTACATCTACCAACATGACTCAGCCGACTCGTTAGTGACTTCATGGATTTCTCCCTTAGATTTCTTCTAACCTATTTCTAAATCGCAAAACATAGCCCGTCGGGGCAGTCAGTGGTTAGGCATATGTAACACATATCCCAACTACCTCAACTGATGGAGTTTCAATATTTCCTCTATTGATTTGCCATCCATACCTAGTACTCGTTTCCTAACGATAGCATTGCTTACTCGGTTGTCTGAGGATGCACGAGCGATGCTTGGGAGATACCTTTGATCAAAAACCGGCAACCTACGAATATCTTCTACTCTGACTGTTTGGATTATAAACCAGTTAGTTACATGTGCCATAATTGAACTCCTAACTCCAATACTTAATAGAAAAAGGCTAATGTCAATACATATTACCGATTAAAGTTTAGAGAATTCTATCACAGTTTAGAGGTTTACAGGTTACAAGTTCGATAGTTTTGTATAACACTCCCCCTCTCCCATTAGCATGAAAGTAACAGTTGTTAATCTTTCTTTATAAATTGTAATTATTTGTATAATATGCAAATTCATTTACTGAATAATAAAGTAAGATAGATTACACATAGATATGAACTTTCTGTTTCCCATTTATTTCCCCATTGACAGATTCGCCATTAATTTTCCGGTTATCTTAATTAAGATCATAATATTTATAAATAAGGAGTATAGTGTTTAAGGCATATGTTACAAGTATGTATGACCTAATATTTACATAACGGATACAATTACAAAGATACCCAATAACCTCATATTATAACAGCAAAATTGATGTTATGACCTTAGAATTAAAAAAACCAAACTCCAGAAAATTCATATAATCATCAAGGAGCATACAATGTAGAACGTCTGTAAATGGATGAAAAAGAAAATCAGGGGCGGAGAAAAATATGACGGCTACAGATCGATAATGTTATGGTTTCTGATAGTAACAATAACGTTACTTTATTATAGTGACCACTTTAGTCTCATGTGCTGTTGAGGGTTGGGGTCCGCGAGATGATAGCAACTGATAGTTGGAAACGTTGAAAGATATGGCTCAAAATTGTTTGCAATGACGCAGGTGCATCCACTCGCTGTATGCTATCAAATTCTAATCTTCTGAATTCCTCATCACCTCTACCTTTCCCGTTCTAAACTTATCTCACTGAATGATACTTCTTGAATAATACCTTCGAACCCTAATCTTCTCCATTACCATTAATACTTCTACTATATCTATCACTATGGGATTTAAACTGACAATTATATCTCTGTGCTAAAGTGGTACGGCAACCTGAACTTAGATACGTACGTACGAAGTTCTACGTTGTAACTGACTAACTGACATAGTGAGATGAAATTATCAAAACAAATGTCAGACTAGTAAAAGTAATAACAACAACTACAGTGGTAATATGAAAAAGTTAGACACAGACAATATGATTCGAGAAGAAAGAATAAATTCATGGGACTAGTAATTCTATGAGATAATTTTTAAACTCAAAATATACGGAATTCCCCGATGAGACCAATTCTGAGCCATATCATTAATGTGAAATGTATATTATCGCAAACCATTTCCATCATGAGCTGATATCGAATGACAGATCATTTGAAAACCAACGAGAAAGAGAAAAAGAAATTTCATAAGTGATGATCTAAATACCAATTACTTGGTCGTACGCATCTGACCAAATGAAAACTGCCACTTCATTTACATAATTCCCCTTTGTATATATTGTTTGCTAGAACGAATCACAAGTAGCACAAAATCACTACAAAATCGTATTTAGCACATCCTATTAGGATATGATGAGGCTATAAGAGCTGATCTAATCAAAAATTAATGCGTTTGAACAAGCAGGTTATTCAATGTTGTAAGAGAATTTAATACTGTAATAGTCAGTCAGATGCAACGTAGAACTTCGTACGTAAGTACATCAGTTCATGTTACCATACCACATCAGCTCGCCGTCGCTTCAGAATTCCTAACGCTTTTACAACTTCATTGAGACTAGGGGGACTTAGTTCGATTTGCCATTCAGGATGACTGGAGATCGTGGGTAACCGAAGAGTGGCTCGAGGCCAGTTGAACTAATTCCTAAAGTGTTCTGCCCATCGATCCAGTCTCCTGGATTGAGAATAAATAAGAGTCCCATCATTTTCCGAGATAGTCTCACTTACACTAGGATTCATAATACCAGTTTCCTTGATAAGTCGGAAAAGTTGTCTACTGTTGCTGATCGCCGCTGCCTTTTCCATCGCTTTTGCTTTCGCCGCCCACCACTGTTCACAGTCATTGCGCAGGCTTTTTATCAGCCTGCGCCTAAGCTGACTTCGTTCTTCATCATATTCAGAGCCAGGTAGGATGAGTGTTCGGGACACACATAACACTGAATAAGCTGATTTTATTATTATTATTGACGAACTTTCATTAAGTGGATGAAAATAACGCGCGTAAAATATATTTTTTTTTCTGAAAAGAATCATCACAAAATTGTATTGAAATGAACACACATCAAAAGTAAAACACACATACCGACAGATAATTCACTAATCCAAGATGTTTAAATTCTTCTTGTAAATATACTCTTAACATTATGTCATCTGTTGAATGTACAACGATATTGAAAAATTGCATACACGATACCTGAAACAAAAAACCAGACAAACAAACAAACAAAATTAAATTTAAATCATTGAAATGCAAGAAAAAAAACATTTATTTTCAAAATATAATTTTAAATAAATTAATTTATTAAATAAAGAGAAAAACATGAAAATACTTGACTTTTAGCAATTGTTTACGCAAACATTCATTGCATCTTATAATTGGTTGTCTACATTGAATTAGAAAGAAATAGGAATTAGAACTTTTGACATATTAGTCGAAAGTCATATTCATTGTTCTTTAATTTTAGTATTTGCATTACGGGGTTGTGAAGATTGTTAAGTTACACATTTTTGAAACCATAAATCGATTAGGGCGTTCGTGCACAATACTGAGGGTCCCGGGTTCGAATCCTGCTAGGTGCAGGAGTCATGGATGCGCACTGCTGAGGAGTCCCATACCAGGACGAAACGGCCGTCCAGTACTTGCAGTTTTATAATGGTGGTCTAGCATTGATCGATTCATGGTTTCAAAAATTTTATTATTGTCAATGTGAAATAGGAATTTATTATTCCTCTTAAACGTATGCGAATTAAAAACGTTTAAAGAACTGTTTGCCACGGGTCTACTATATCGCATTATTCAAGCCATAAAATCACATTTACAAATTTGAATTAGTCCAAATGTAAACAGTTTATAGGCGAAATTGTTTAATATACTAACAATATGAGTCATCATGTGAAAATTATTGAAAACACTGATTGATTATATGCATAGATAACTTGTGATTACTGGTTGTTTAAATTATGATACAGCCAGTCACTACTACTGATAAATGTCGTGGTTCACACCTCTTTTTTAAAAAAAGGAAATGCTCCGCTAAGTTTAAATTCTTTTAGTGTCGTTCAGGGTAGTTTTGTCAACGGTACATGACTAAGCATCTTTTCATTAATAAATAAACAGCGCAAAATTGGATTTCAAACAGTGAATGAATACCAAAGACATTATCTTTGGCAGTTAAAAAACCCTGATTGTTTAAAGAAGCCATGTCACCTTTACATGGCTAGCATATTCCCAATAATAAATAAACAGGGCAAAATTTAATGTAAATCAGTTGAATTAAGTTGGCGAATATGAAGAAGATATCTTCGACAGGGAGATAACCCTGACCATGAACTAATAGACTATTGCAAACGAATTTTACTGTACTGCTTCTACTGTCTTATGAATTAGACTTTAAGATGAAAAAAAGGTTCATTGATGGATCACTCAAAATTACAATTACACTGACGAAAATGATGATGAGTTTCGGAAACGACAATAAATCAATTCTAAGCAACTGTAAGAAAAAAAAGGTACTAATCAGCAAGCTTATATATATATACTATTGTGGTGTGAGCTACTTATAAGTAGTATATGACGTGAGTGTCAACGTAATGTCTGGCAGAAGAAAGATGGGGGAAGATCATGAAAGGAAGAGTTAGAAAACAATGGCATTTGTATGAAACGCATGAATAGTGACATTGGATTGATGTTTTGCAACAGGAACAGTCCGGTTCGATAGAATGAACTGATACTTTGCAAATGAACGATTTACGATATGGTTTTCCAATTTTACTGAGTAACTCTGTAATTTCGCTAAATACAATTCGGTTGTCCGACCTGTGTTCTCGTTCACTACACTATGACTATTATGATCAGAAATCACTTAAGGGATATAAAATATAAATGCGAAAAAATGAGAATATTTCTGTAAAACTACATATAGAATGATAAAGATTATCGTATGAAATTACTTTTATATAATGAATGTGTACTTTAAATTTTAGTCCATATTCAAATACCGATTATTTTCAATGCAACACAGAGTTGCACTTATGTATGTATCATTGTCAGTAATAATTAAACAAACGGAATAATAATTAGACGATAATGATTGAAATTTTTTTTTTACGTAGTGAATAAGAAATTATTCACTCAAAAAAAAATAAAAAATAAAAATAAGGTATACTTATGAGAAAATAATACCTATATATATATAAATATAAATATATATAATTTTTAAAAACTAATCGCTTTCACGTTTAATGTACTAAAAAGTATTTACTATGAGTGATCTGAATCATATTTATCAACCGTAGAAATATACTCAAAAACACGTACACACACGCCTACATACATTTCGAACTAAAAAAAATTCATTTTATTTCAATAGACCTGAAACTAGTTATTTAGCATAAATGAGTAACTAGCTACTGTCTAGTTACTTATATAATTCAATCGTTGGACAGAAATTAAGATTTTATTGAGATACGTACTGTAAACACTATAGACGTAAACGTTATAGCAACGTTCTACTTCCCCGGAATTCTAACACTTGAAGCTTGAACAGAAAACAGGCGGAAAAATAAGGAAGTTTTATTTTGAAAATTAGATTATTTACAGGAAACAAAAGTGTTTGAAGGAATAGAGACAACTTCGAGACTCGAAAAGCTTCAAGGAAAGACATTAAAATCGGTAACTCATTTAGAAGTTACCCAGTCAAATCACAGAAAGCGTAATCAATTGTCTTCTGAATCGTTCTTCAAAGTTTCTGAAGAGTACAAGTTAGCCGAAGTACTTTCAGAAATTTTCGCTAGATTCTGAAGGGTTTTCCAAGAAATGACCGACGATTTCCAACAGATAACAGAGATAGTTAGTGAAACAATTTTACACAGGAACAATTCATGTCTTTTCATATCATGCCAAACCACCGACTGCCTCGACGAGCAATGTTTTGTGGTTTAGGAGTAGGTTAGAGGAAAGCTAGGAGCGACCTAACCAAAACATGACAGAAATCCATGAAGTCACTGACAAGTGGACTGAGTCATGCTGGTAGATGTAGGCTATCTAGTTGGGGTCTGCGAGATGATAAGTAACCAATGGTTAGAGACCTTGAACGACATGATTCGAAATCGTTCGCAATGGCGCAATTGTTGTGTTGTATGAAGTTCTAATCTTTTGAATTCATCATCACTTCTCTCTTTCCCTTTCTAAATTTATTTCACTGAATTATACTTCTTAAATAATATACTCGAACCCTAATCTTTTCCATAACCACTAATACTCCTACTATCTCGACCACAATGGGGTTTGATCTGACAATTCGATGTGGTATGGCAACATACGAAGTTCTACGTTGTAACTGACTTTCAAAATATCAAAAAAAAAACAACAATAGTACCTGCTTTTATGGGATATTCTTTGTCACAAATTAACATGAAGTAAAAAAAGCAACTGAAAACCAGGAATCACTAATAAGCTATTATTTCATTCTAGTTAGAAACGTTTATCTGTGCGTACAGAGTGAAACCTACAACTATAGTGAACGTCATGGTGGTGAGTGGTTGAACTGAAATCCAACTATTCATATTTCATAGTTTAACATCACGGGCTTAGATAGACAACCAATGAACATCATGAAGTATTAGACAGGTGTGCTTCATCTTAGTATGTGACTACTCGGCAAAGAGAATCAACGACTTCACCACGGAGCGAACACAGGACTTTTAGGTCTCACGACAAGTGCCTAATCTTTAAGAAAACTAGGTCAATATTCGTGACATGATGGAAAAAAGATTTGTGTCATACAATAAACGAATAAATGGAGCAAATGATCTAATTGTCATGATTTAAACGCTGATCAAATTTATAATAATTAATAATCTTTCTAGCTAGACATAAATATATGAATGTATACTGTCTGCTGCCTGATAAAACTAGTTTTTCAAAACAAACAAAAAAAAGGTGCCAAATGTTTATAACACTCAAAAAATAAAAAAAAAATAAAAGATTTTCATGATAAATAATCCTACTGAAAAATCAATGAGGTTGATTGTAGAGCGCGGTGGACAAGTTTATAAGAGAATAAATGTTAATTACAATAAGAGGAATATGTTTTTGTAATCCGATCTACAGGATCAATATAATGTGGACATAATAAATTCTGTACGAAACAAAAAACAATAATACATATGTCAGTAGTGATAGAATATTATACATGATGAATAAATTAACAACACTATGCCATGAATATATATAAACAAACTACACTGACGTTTGGTCTGTGAAAAATTTGAAAAGTATAAAAATCAAACACAAAACAAACACATAATAGATAGGATATCAGTCAGATGCAACGTAGAACTTCGTACGTAAGTACATCAGTTCATGTTGCCATACCACATCAGCACAGAGATATAATTGTCAATTCAAATCCAATAGTAGTAGAGGTAGTAAAGGTATTAGAAGTAATCGGAGAGGTTAGGGTTAGAAGATACTATTCAAGAAGTATGATTCAGTGAGAAAAGTTTAGAGAGTCGAAACTAGAGGTGTTGAAGAATCCAGAAGATTATAGTTTGAGAGAACACAAAGAATAAATACACCGCCCCCATTGCGAACGATTTTGAGCCATGTCATTCAAGGTCTCTAACCATCGATTATTATCATCTCGCGGACCCCAACCAGGTAGTCGACAATTACCGACATGGCTCAGTCCACTTGTCAATGACTTCATGGATTTCTGCCATGTTTTGGTCTGGCCGCCCCTAACTTTCTTCCAACCTACTCCTACACTAGAAAACAAAGCTCGTCGAGGCAGTCGGTGGTTCGGCATACGCAACACATGTCCCAACCACCTCAACTGATGAAGTTTCACCACTTTATCGATCGATCTGCCATCCTTGCCTAGTACTCGTTTCCTAACGACAGCATTGCTTACTCGGTTGTCCCACGGTATACGGGCAATGCTTCGAAGACACCTATGATCGAAAACCAGTAACCTACGAATATCTTCTACTCTCACTGGCCATGTTTCACAGCCATAAAGTAAGATGGAGCGAACTGCTGCACAGTACACTCGTCCTTTGATTAGAGAACGGATATCACGCCTACGCCATAAGTGACGCAGGTTGGCAAAAGCCAATCGAGCCTTCTGTATCCGAGCTGAGATTTCGTCAGTCACCAGGCCATCGGCACTGATGAGACTCCCAACATAAGTGAAGCGGTCAACACGTTCGACTACTTCACTCTCTATCACTAGTTCAGGTGCCGATGCAACCCAGTCTTGAAACAACATTTTGCATTTCGAGGGGGAAAACCGCATCCCGAACATGCTTGCATTGTTGCTTAGGGTAGTCAGAAGACTCTGCATTTTGTCAGCGTCTTCACCAGCCTGGTTTTCTTTAGTCTGCTCTTCACGAGCTTTCGTTAAGCGTCGAAGTATTACTGAGGCCAATATTTTAGATACTATATTAGTTAGACTTATTCCCCTGTGATTGTCACAGGGGTAAGTTTAACATGTTGATACATTATTTAGTAGAAAAAAAAAGAAGTAAATTAGATTTTAAAAAATGATGATGAATGATTTAACTAACAGTAATGGTAGAAAGCTCAACATCCTGGAAATTTAAAAGATACTTATAGAATATGATCAGTCACAAACCTAGAGAGAATGATGTGGAATTAATTTTCAGTAAGAATGTTTTGAGATATGTCGTAACAATGTCAATCACTGTTACACGGTTTTAACATAAACTTGATATTGGTGTGATGATAAGTTTATTAAGTTCGATGAAGCTTAATGTGGCCAGTATTATAGGTTGATAGATTAATATTGAAAGCATGCAAGTTTGAGGTAAAGAAAAAAATTAAGATATAATTGATACTTTTTTTGGTTAATGTGTGTCACTAAGATACTAAGTAACAACTGACCCTAGAATTTTAGAAAGCACATAAAATTATATGTGTTGTTTAGAATTTCTTTTTAAATACTATCAAACCTTTTAATGTGTGACACACAGCGATTCTGAACCAAATAAAAATACAAACACTACTTATCATGGTTCCAAACCAAGGTAACTCCTTTGTCAAAACAAGATATTATCCCTGATAATATCTTAGAACACCGATAAATGAAAAAATAATCAAATAAACTCATTTGAAATCATGAATCAATCAACGTTAGACCACCATAAACCCGGAAGCATTGAACAGCCGTTTCGTTCTGGTATGGGACTCATCAGCAGTACAGATCCACGAATCCTGCACCTCGCAGGATTCGAACTCAGGACCTTCGGTCTTGCGTGCGCACGCCTAACCTCTGGATCACTGAGCTGGTATCCAACGGTGTTAATGTCTAAATTCGATCAATTCACGGTTTTGCGCAATCTCATACGGTTCTTGGTAGTTACTGTCTACACGCGAACAGTTTGAACTTTACTGGTCAAAACCTCCCACTAGAATTCGAAGAAGATTCCCCACGGAGGTCCTGGATTCGAATCGTGCGAGGTGCACGAGTCATAGATCTGTGCTGCTGATGAGTCCCATACAAAGAAAAAACGGCCGTCCAGTGCTTCCAGTTTTCTAATGGTGGTCTAACATTGATCGATTCATGATTTCAAATGTGTAACTTAACAATCTTCACAACCCCGTAACGAGACATACTTATGGTTAAGTTATTTAATAGGTTCAATGATCAATCCCAATGAGTCATTAATATTCAAGGGAAATTGTAACAATTAGAAAAAAAGAGATTTAACTTACCATAAAATCCATATTGTAATAATCTGGAGATTCAGATTCATGTGTAAAAAAATAATGTACTAAATATTCAAAACGTGTTGATTCGCCAACTTCTTTTTTAAAATTATCAAATGCATTCAATACACGTTCATGTCCACCAGTGATTAAGCAAACAACAGTTAGAAGTTCAAGCACCAAAGTTTTTGTTCTCAAAATCAAGAGAAAAATGATAGAAACAATAAGAATTTAAAAGAAAAATGAGAAATGTGTGAATAAAAAAAAGTTGACGTTTGTAAAAGCGCACTATTATTCATACAAGAAGTAGCTATCGGTCGGTTGGTCAGTTTTAACGTAGAACTTGGTGTGTACTTACTCTCTTAACACAAAGAAACGAAATTATGAAGCCGAATCCCAGAGTAGTGGAAGTAGTAACAGCATTAATGGGGGAGAATAAAGATATACGTCAGTAAAATTTTAAAATTTCCTAAGGAATTCAGAGGCTTAGCATTTTTGGTGAGGACAAAGAATGGATGCACCTATACTAATGTAAATGATTTTGAGCTGTTATTCAAAGTTTCTAATCACTGACAGCTATCAGTGGTAAAGACTAACTATAAATTAAGGTTCACAGATGATAATCAATTTTGTTTGGGAATTTGCAATGAAAAGTTTTGTAAGATTCTATTGTTTTCTAAACTGTTTAAACAATAAACGATGCAAGAGCTAAAAACAATGGCGAAATGAATTTTAGAGAGTATTTATACTTTTTGTAATTATTGATAAGGTGACGATAAGTAAGCTGGAAACTTTCAAAGCTAGTACCGAATGAAACCAACCATCACTGTGATTTGTGAATATGGTAAGAATCTTTAGAATAAGAGGAAATATTCTTACTCTTGTAAATTATTGTATATTTAGGATTTTTACTGATAATCCCGGTAATAATATCGTTAACAAGAGCGAAAGATTTGTGATGACCGCTATCAAGTTTTTCTTACTTATTAACTTATTCCTTACTGCCGGTCTAAATTCACTTGAACAGGTCTCAAAGTAGTCATTGACCTGAGAGGACTCGACATCACAGTTAACTCTCTTTGATGTTAATGAGGTGGAGATGTTCATCGAGAATCTGTAGACTTACGTTTTGTGTTACCTAGTATCCGTAGGCGGAAAGTACTTGTAATGTCGAGAGAATCGACGTTTTTATGAGAACCGAGTCCATAATAGAGCACCACAATCAGAGATATTATCATTAAACTATTTGGATAGCACTGGTTGTATGCTTGTAAGCATAAGGCATCAATGACAGACATCATTGAAATATGTTACAAACGAGTTTCAGCAACTGAAGGAATCATTGAAAGACGAGTCCGCATAAACAGTTGAACACGGTTCTCCAGAGTGAACGTAAGTTTCATCATTTGACGCCGACGAATATAACTTACAGGCTAATTATTTCTACTAACCCTTAGATCGGAATAAAACACTCTTTAGTACACTTAATAGTCCTAGATGTTGTAGTGTATTTATTTCCTCAATGCAGTGATGACACTAATAAAAGTCGTTTTTGAACTTACAAAAGTATTGATCGATTAAACTTTTATCCCTATGAAATAAGCAATCATTCGATGCAAATCGATAAATTAAATATATTCGAAGGCAATTTTAATGTAGCAAATGATTATTGAATCTTTAAAAAGTTATTGAAACAAACTTACTGGTAGCTTGGATGTAGTAGGCATAAAGCGATAACATTTACGGCACGAGGATGCTCAAATACCATTGAACAACCACGCTATATAAATAAGATGAATACACATTCACATGGTGAGAATAATTTACTTTACTTGATAATTACTATATAATATGCATGTACATTATAATGAATACAAAAGTACATTTTACTACTAAGTACAAACGTAGCCCCTATATATCCTGGTGTAGGAGTAGGTTGGAAGAAAGCTAGGGGCGGCCAGACCAAAACATGGCAGAAATCCATGAAGTCACTGACTAGTGGACTGAGTCGTGTTGGTAGATGTAGACTACCTGGTTGGGGTCCGCGAGACGAAAGTCACCAGTGGTTAGAGACCTTGAACGACATGGCTCAAAATCGCTTGCGATGGCGCAAGTGCATCCATTCTTTGAGCTTTCTCAAATCCTAATCTTCTGGATTCGTCAGCACCTCTACCTTTATCTTCTAACCTTATCTCACTGAATTATACTTCTTGAATAATATCTTCGAACCCTATTCTTCTTACTTACCATTAATACCTCTACTATCTTTATCACTATGGGATTTGATTTGACATTTGTGTCTCTGTGCTAATGTGGTATGGCAACGTGAACTTATGTACATACGTACGAAGTTCTACGTTGCAACTGACTGACTGACTATATATCCTGGTAAAGCACGAGTGGAATGTTTGTCTTTCCTATCAAAATGCTCTCATATAGAAACCGGCAAAGAAGTTCTGCTCACTGACTTTTCGTAGTTCCGGGGTGTTGTTTATGAGATTGAGGACAGAGAATAAATGTCCGACCGGAGCTAAAACCAGGTTGGTGGATAAAGAGTACCAATGGGGTACGTGAGTCTCAGGATCCTAAGAGAACGAACAGAGTACGTATATATTTTTTGTCACTTGCTACTATGAGACTGCATCTTTTGAAGTTGCTCCATTGCCCTGAGTGTCAGACCTGTAGGTCAAAGGCACGACGGGTGGACCCCTAAGAAAATCACCCGCTTTGGATTCGGCACTCGGGTAATAACTTAATGGCTGAGGTTTATTTTTTATAAGAATTGGAGAGGATGAAAAATAGACAGATAAAATTATGAGTAGCATTGTGCATGTTGGTTGTGATTACTTATTTTGTTATGAAATCGATTTTTTGTTTTTCACGGCACAAAAATGCAAGTGATTTGCGTTTACGAAGAACAACCCTGAGATAGTATTACTTAGTTATGACAATACTAGATTAGCTTTAAAAAGCATCAGTTACAAGATAACAAGCGTATTCAGAAAAGAAATGAATCCTTTCAACAAATCATAGAATATGATAACAGAACACAGAAGAAACTTCGATCAGCTCAACCACCGCAAATTTTGCCTACAGTAATTACGTTTTACACGGAAAAAACTATGAAATAAGTAGTTATTTATCATATTACTGCTAAGAATAACGAAATCATTTAGTGACAGAGTAATTTCGAAAGTTGATGAGTTAGGAGAATGTACAAATGAATTGTTATTAAAAAACAACAGAAAAGCCGCCTTAATAAACGACAATTTTAACTTCAAAAACTTTTTTCTTAGCCTATCAGTCAGAACGCTACAACAATATAACTATGTTACGTAATAACAAACCTGATTATTAAGTAATGCACGAAAGCATCTGACACCTTGATGAAGACTATCTCTGATCGATTCAGATATGTGTGGGACATGAGCAGGTGAGAAAGAAACGCGATCATGTTTTTTCTTCCTAAAACTAGAGCACCATAAACCAGATTCGACTTTGTCACTCTCATTAATATCGTCGCATAGATCATTTACAGAAACCTCTTGATTCGAATCAAATGAAGCTAGGAGAGCGGAATGTTGTTGTTGAATACTATCCAGGGTAGGACGAAGATCAGTTCTAAAATGAAATTGATCAAAAAGGATGTTAGTACATATAAGTGTGAATTTATCTCCGTTCATTAATTAATTAATTAATAGGAATAAGCATGCTTTTGAATTAGTGCTACTAGAATAATATGTGAACGGTTTACAAAGAAAACAGAGTAAACCTAAAAAAGATGATTACAATTTCATTTTTTGTTTATAAATCAATCAGAAATACGGACCAAGCTACGCTACGGTAAGCGATGAAATGCTATTGATCATCTATTCTATCATTAAAGCATATTCATTATATTATAAAAATTCATGCATTCCCAAAGTGTTTTACAAAGGAAAAAAATATGAATCTACATTCAGTACGATGAATAGTGACGAGATGTAAAATATACGTCTTGTCTTATTATTATTAGTTAATCTGTTTAAATTTACTTATACTTCGTCAGACAATATTCTTACTGACATTAAGTCTTAATGCCTACATTTTTACAAGTGACAGTGATATGATTAAAGCTATATGTACTCGCAGTCGTTGGTGATGAGTTCGAATTAAATTACTGGGTTTCAATAATGATGGAGATGTGAGCACACCTAATGGATGTCTGCCAGTTAAGTTTTGGATTTCCCCATTACCAATGAATACAAAACGCACTCAAATGATCCTATGAGAAGGCCTGGACCGGTTAGATCAGATTAATTAATTTCAATAATCCAATAAATGACTAAATCAGTAATAGTATTTTAACTCCACATATACAAATCAAATGACGAAAATAACTGCATAATTATTTACCTTATAATATTAAATCATTAGTAAACAGAATTTGCAATTAATCAACAAAAAAGCGCATATTTACAATGGTTTAGATTGAAAGTGTGTAAATGCAAGCAAATTCTTAGTCTACGACAACTAATCTACATAAAAATCCATGCATTATTTGACTTACGACAAAACAGAACATTTTTGAAACCTTTTTAAACTGTTTACATTTAATTATAGATTTAAAAATGAATTAAAACTTCACCTTACCTCATAACCAGATGTATTACTCTGGATACATAATTCACTAATGTCTCTAAACCATTTTGATCGAGAAAATCATAAACCCAACTAAAAGTAAACGTATGAAACTGAGCTATTTTTTCTACAAACTTACGCTACATTATTTGTTCTCAATGATATTTCTGTGGCTAAAAGAATCTCTTTTGCCTGTTGTGCATCACCTTTACGTGGATTCTAAAAAATAAACGTTTTTAGTCAAAATAACCAAACCTTTGTCAATGTTGACCGCCCAACGCGTAAACCTTTAATCAGGCTAACATAATGAAAGGCAGAACACTTTGGGTTTTTTATAGCCTAAGGTATGATTTCAATAAGAAATTGCACACGTATTTACATAATTTTCCAACAATTGACGCTTCTGATCATCAGGTAGCTGTTCGATACCCTTTGCTTTATCAGGGTCGACGTCTAGTGATTGTATAAAATTTGCCCATTGATCTTCATATTTTGGAGTATTTTCATGGTTCATGATTTAACCAATATACAGATACATTTGAGTTCAAACCAAACAACTCATTTCAACAGCTGAAAAGCATAAACGAATTGGTAAGCATTCTAGCGGTGACTATAAAATTTAAACAGTCATCAATATACGAATGCGTTTCGCAGAAATGTACAAAATACATATGATTTCTGAATACAAACTATCATTAGTACTGTGGAGATTGCTTGCCAACAGAACAATGCCACATACGCGACGAGCAGTATAGCAACTTCAGTGCGTTTGCATACCTGAAGTATCGCTCTTTGAATTCGAGTATGATTCCCTGCCCTATAATTCTGAATGAGGCCTGAGATTTGACATTTGATATACAGGGCCTGAGGTATTAACAAGTTGCCCAAAAAGAAATACGTGGGACAGGATTTAAGTCCGCGACAAAAACTGCTAAAATATGAACACTGAATGGCTATTCCACTTAGTAAATATTTGACTACAGGTGGTTTTTGCGTAGTTCAACACAACAATCCAGTAAGTGAGCGATAGACGTCAGACAGTAGTCCTCAAGAGAAATCGAGTCGGTCGATAAGATGATCAACTTCCATTCATAAGTTTTTTCAGGGTAGATATTTCTCGTCTTTAACTACTGAATACTTAAACAAACAATTTTAGCAAATCAGAAAAACAGTTGATATTGCTACATGACTTCAGTCCACGAACCAATCGGCTGATTCGATTCATATCTTAATGTAAACCAACGATATTAACCTTGACCATAATTTACAAACAGCTTTATTGATGCATTTCGCGGGAAGTTCACAAAACATTTATAATAACAGAACTAATTAACTTTAATTACATCGCTCTTTGTCTAAAGTGAAAATTACGTTTTTGAGCTGATATAGTGGTACTTGTAAACAGACCTTAGTAATTCAAACCGATTTTTCTCAAGTATGCAACACAACTTATTTGGAGCAAATGGTAGTAACTGTTCCAAATCTGTAATAAAGCGTTCAGCGTCAATTTGGTAGGCTAGTTGAATAAGCTAATACAGTGAGTCGAACGATAGTCACTTTTGGTATGTTCGTAAACTCGGTGAGACTATGATTCACGGACAGTGAAGGACTAGTGAAATTTTACAGAATGACAGTCTTTTTCCAAGGGAAATCTGACCTTGCATGCATGTTTGCACGACAACTATGTAACTATAAACGGAAATTTAGGCAGATCTCGTGGCTACTTGTGCCATAAAGTGATAAAAGTTGGGGAAATTAAATCCATATTAAGGTTTGCCGTAAAAGAGTGACAGAATGCATCGTTGGATGATACTTTTTGAATTACCATAGCATTTGTACAAGAACCTAAAAAGCTACTGAGACACGGATGAAACCACACCATGTAACCTTTGAATGTATAAGATGTGTCCCATTGCATATGGAATGCTTAAAGACCTCTCAATTCAACCCATCATAAATTAACAAGTAAAAAGCCACAAACCTAGGTCATACACGCCTTTTTAAAAATCGGCTATTGGCAGGACTATACCTTTGATTTGTTTAAACAAATAGTTCAGTGATCTATAACAGTAAAGCTCACACAACTACTAAAACTAAATTTTGATGTCTTACAGTCCACTACTGTTTTAAAGATAATGTTTGTAAGGTGTAAATAAATTTAGATCTATATACTGATTCTTCAAGAGATGAATGTAAGTCAGATTTTGCTCAGATGGGCCGCATTTTCATCTCCACAGCCTTAGGCGTTTTGCTCGAGGTGAAGTGTGCCAAATGAATAAGTTTCTGTTGTCGTGGCCAAACCGATCTGTATCATAAATGTCTGAAGGTAATCTATATCCAATATACTATCCTTTTCATGATCTCGTATGAACTAACTGATTCTTTGCACTCACTTCTTGTATTGTCGTTCAGGTTTCTGATATTCGATAATGCAAACTATAATATCAGCAATTTTGGCCACTAATGTTAAAGGACATAAAATGCTGTCTAGCTACTCTTTTACAGCTGATAACGACAGACAATTGCGGCCGAGCACTTTCAGTGATGTCACGTTGGATAAAAAAGTATTTCATAGCAGAGGTTGTCTGGATATTGGATAGGTTTTGTGAACTAATAGGTGGTTGTTCGATGGATGAAACATTCGTGGTGGATTGTGCATAATCAGAAGTCTCATTAGTCGGTACAATTTATACAAATAAGAACATAATTCTGTCCAACTTCCTTGTGCGCTGACTATTTTGCAGGAAGATAATCTTATGCTCACTTTAAAAAATATATAGGTTAACGATAACATTTTGATGACTTATTTTTCCCCGTTGGTTAATGCTGAAAGGGCTTAGAAAGATGCATATAGTGGTCCTATATCAGAGATCTCAACAATATCTACGAATCATAAACACTAATGATAGACTTGCCCGCGAATACTTTCATAAGTATTGGTATTGTGGATATCTGTTTATAAAAGCCATATAACCACATTGAGTAACAAAAAAAATTATCTTTCTGAATCCCTTAACTGGCGGAATTAATCCCAAATCGGATGAGTAGTAACTCTGCAATAATACATATAATCCTTCATAAGAGGGGTCTCGCTTGGTACTCTCAGGGCAAGAGAATGAGAGTAAGACTAGCATAATTAATATAGGAACGAATAAAAAGCAGCAAATGGGTCGAAACATCTGAAACTGGAAAGTATGTCTTCGATTAACCAACGACTTACCGACATTGAATAGACTAATTCACAAATATTTTTCAAGACCATCATATAATACTTTGTAAACCTAACAATCACAAATCATGAACTGGGCAATCTACATATCAATCAAAACGAACTATGACCATCAAACGACCTACTTAATCGTCCAGTACATAAGTATTGTTTATTCGTGTCTGTTAAATAACAGATGTTTTAGGTGTATTTGTCGGCTTATATACTCAACGATTTATAAACTGTTCGGTTCAACTAGTGATCTCACAATATGATTAATCATGTGAATCATCAGGGCACGAGGTTGAGTGTATTCCTTGTTAGTTGGAAACAACATTTTCACATCTGCACTAACACTGACATGGTTTTCACAACTGTCATCAATATGGGTGTTAGGTAATGCTCCTCGGTTTCATATTTTCCCTACAATATTTTCCAGTTCAGTTATTAAATTAAAATAAAGCGACCGCTACTTATATCTTGTACAGACAACTTCATCCTGTTCATTGTACTTCCAACTTATAGCATTGGACTCTTACCCATCGCAGTAGCAATCCTCAGTTCTACAAACTCTAGCTACCAAGTGATCAGTAACTTTGTATGACAAAATCGTGATTGATTTTTCGCACCATTACACTTCCGTGCTTTCAATAGGTATTTTCGATACAGCTACAATTCAAGACTAAGAAATAGAGGACTGTAAATGACATAGTCTCATGTTTTGCTAGAAGCTAATGTCGGTAGGATCATCAACTGATGAGGCACTTATCGTGCTACCAGTATAATATCAGTTCTCTCATTAAAGCGTTACGTTACATATGTGAGGGACTTAATCACTTATTTATCGATACTACTCAATAGAACATCAAATAACACATGATTCCCAATTTGAATGGCTAGTAGATTAAATTCAGTAATCCTGTCACAATTTTAATATCACAAGAAAGGTAGCAGGCTCGCAAATAAAGTTTCATCAATGTACCATATATTATACGATACCGACGTGGTTTCCAATAATACATCAAGCCCGCACGGCTTGTTTCGGCATTTGGCGAAGCCAATAATTTATTTGCCTCGCGCACACGTCTTTTGAACTTCGTAATTATTCGATTATAATCTGGGTTCTTTTTATTTGACAATGTATGCATGGCTTATTTCGTTTATCAGATGTCTTCCTTATTTTTATCTTAAAATAAATATTTAGTCACGCCTCATCCCATGGAGTTGTTCCAATCGCGTCCTCTTCCATTTACTATTTTCTATATTGTCCATCTGTTCGGAGTTTATCCATTTGAAGCGAACCGTGTCGGGGTTCTCATTACTACCGTCACACAAACGGAGTTAGTATAAGAATGACACAAGGAAATCAGACAAAAAATGTGTTTCATAGAATACTCGATCGTAAAAAATTTGACATTAGCTTTTACTAGTTGTCCGGAAAACTAACTCAAACTTCAATTGTAGATAACAAAATCATGTACCTACAAGACTCTTGAATACAAGCGAATCATTCAAGTACTGATAACTTGATTACAACTAAATACACATTGTTTCGATGAAATAAGATTTCAACAGTATATTATTGATTATTGAATAGGAAATTGTTGAATATTTTATTGACCAAAAAAATTGTATACTGTAGTTGTAACTTTGATAACCTTAGGCTTATTCATACTTACTCACTTGATTGCTCCTGTTACTCCTTCTTCAGCATAGGTTTCCAACCAACTCTGCCGTTCGCTCAACTTTCTAGATGTTCTCTATTGCTATTCATTGTTTCGATGTGCATCTTCGATTATCAAAGCAAAATGTTCATTGATCTGCCTCTTTTCCTTCAGCCTTGTGGGTTCCAAGTTAGAGCTTACCCGGTAACGCTATTAGGTAACTTCCTAAATATATATTCTATCCACCTCCAGCTCCTTTTCTTAACTTTTCCTTCACACAGGAGCTGGTTTGCTGTTGTTATTGGTGTTTAGCCAACGGATTCAAAATATCTTGCGTAGAAAACTGTTAATAATAGTTTAGATGATGGCTTTGGTAGTCCTCCAGGTTTTCACTCCGTACGATAGAACTGTCTTGAAGTTTGTATTTGAAAGTCGGATTTTGGTGTTGATTGGCACAACGTTGTCTGGAATTCTTGATGTTCTCCGACAGTAGATTTACTACCCTTGACTGGCTAAGCCCTATCTTCTTATCTATATCAGGTTCTCTACGTTTACCAAACAGGTACATAGAAGTTTCCACATTTTTCAGAACTTCTCTGTCCAATGTGATTTGGTCAATGTTTGCTTTGCTTTATGTCGTAGCCTACAACCGAAGCGGTTGCTGCATTTGTTGTTGTGTGTTAGAACAGAAGCCCTAGGTTACCTTGGAAGTACAAACGGTTTGACTTCAATAAAGCTATCCACTTTATTTCATGATTACGCTGAGGTTCATAGATATTCCTGAACTGGTAAACTACCGGAATAAGAAAAAAAGGAGACAGTAAAAATTAATTATGTATCTCATTTACTGTATGCATGTGTCTTTTTCAGCAACTTTTAAACGTTACTAATCTTAAATCACATATTATGTATAAGCTTTAGTCCCTTGTTTTTGATGTCATCTGTGCAAATCTTCAATCATCAACTTGAAAGGCATTTAACTCTATTTCTCTTGTAACAAAATGTAACTAAAATTAAAGAAACAGAAAGTCTCAAGAAATTCATTTCATCTATCCATTGTAGATTTTAAAACTAGTCCTTCGAGAAGGACATTCAAAATTTCAATACTGGTTTGTTTTTTCTGAAGTTGTTGACTCAAAAATGTTTTTGTTTATTAGGAACAGTACTTTTCTTTGTCTACCTCGTTGTTATTATCAACTCATAAACTGTTTTCATTAGCTTAATACTTTCATATAAGCATACAAATTTACGCTGTAGCCTGATGAATAACTAATCGAAAACATTATTATTATTTGCTTAGATTGGTTGCCTAAATTTGTAATATGAGAATGTTTAGTAATACCTGATCCTAAAGATTTCATCCAAGTTTTCAATGCTTTTGACCCCTAGACATCTCATTTTTTTTGAAGCTACCTATCATTGATTTCTGAAGTCCTGTTTCTCAAAGCGTATTGCAAAACACTATAATTTTCTACTGTTTCTATTGGATTAAATGTTCAAAGAACTGAAGTGATTAATGTAGGTCAGCTGGTCCTTCACAATCACTACCGATGATTGATTTACTGATGTGTCATTGATTATTCCAAAGGTAATTTATTTAGTCTGAATATACGCTTATTTCTTGATTGTGAAGAAGATGACTTAAAAAGTAATTCTTAGGAAATAATAATGGCTCTCAAAACAAGATTTATATCAGTTTCTTTTCTAACAGCAGCTTGAACACTCTGATACTTATTCCTGAAGCAATATATATATATATATATATATATATATATATATATATATATATAAACATGTTGAAGTCAGTGCTCGGAAATTTTATTTCAAACTGGTTGTTACACAATTCTAAACAGTTTACTATTTAATTCCTATTACTGTTCACTCTCAGGATGTAAAGAAATTTAATAACTTTTGATAAAACGATCATGTGTTAAGCGGAGAATATATGTAAATGATCTTTTGAAATATTGAACAACATTTAATACTTGAAAATAAAAAAATTTGAAAAAAAACGATTCACTAAATGCAAAATTTAAGTCATTCTGCTAGTTTTAAATTCATTTTCAAGATGAAGTTAAATTCCTTCTTCTTTTTTTTACAATTCTAATCATCAATGAAATTTCTAATACATTCTCAATTAGATTAGC